ATCATCAGTAGGCATGGAATGCAATCCAAGGCATATAGCGATACAGGGCAGAGAGATGAGAGAAGAGAGAGAAATGAGGACAGGGAATAAATTTTGTCCCTTTCTTTTTTCTACATGTAGTGTGAACTCCAGTTTGCCCATATTTCACAGGGACTGGCATGACAAAAGCAATCAAAAGCAAGCTATAACCTCCTTAAGTCACGTCTCCTCTGTGATAGAAATACACTTAGTCCATTTAGGAAACTTGGTATTTTGTGCCTGCTCCATAGCCCAACACTGAATGAAATGGGCCTACAATAATTTCTTACATTCTTCTACTGGGCAAATGGCATTGGCAGAGATAAATGGGATGAGTCTTGATTGTTAAGTAGCTTTAGTAACAATTTAATTGTCTTATGCTTCCAGTATTGCAATGTTCACAATTTTTCCAGAACAAAAGTTGCTTATATGTTTTTAATTTCGTGAGGTGCTTTATGGAATATCCTGAATCACTGCCTTCTAAGAGAAAAGCTCATAATGATCAACAACCCTGTTCAGATGAGCATGAGGAAGCAAAATCCAATGCTGGAAATGTCATCAGTGATATAAATATTCTACACAGGGTTTCACTTAAAACTATAGCCACTGATGAGTTTGAAAAGTCAGATCTGTTTGGAAACAACAGGATACTGTCACAGGGGAAATGTTAGACATGGTTATGATTTAGCAGCAATTCAAGATTTAGTAATGGTGACAGGTAGATTAAAAGGTTGGAGTGTAGCAGCACTTAATTATTAACCAATTTAAAATTAACAAGGTGATTCAGTAGAATGTGTTATAAACAAAATAGTGATTTTCAGATTTGACAATGAGAAGATTCACAATAGCTTACTACATGGTATCCTAAATCAAAGTGTGTAGAGAGATATATATATACACGTATATGCATAGCTATAACCACCAAGCATACAGACAGTTACATGGATCCAGTGGGATATATATACACCCACACTCATGTAATCAGATGTGTATATTCAAACACATATACAGGCAGAGAGGTGGATGAAAGACAGCATAGCCTATAGTAAAAATTTCCCTCTTCTCACGTTTAGAGTAAACACAATTATTTGGCATTCTCAACAGACAATAACTGAGTCTTGAGAAGTCAAACTTTGTCCTGACCCTCCACACAGTTTGTGCCTGAGAGATGTCTCACTCAGGGGAGGTGCTGGGCACAGCCTGATGACAGTTATGAGTTAAAACTCAAGGAAGCTCTGTTGTTTTCAAAGAAGTTAATTCCACATTATGTCACTGCCAGCAAAGCCTCTTCTACTGTTATAAACTGTCATGTTTCACAACACACTAAATGGTCCATCCCTCCTAACAGAGAACTTCTTGAGTAATAGGATATTTTTTAAAAACAAAAAATTTCTACATTTAGGTGTTCTGTAAACAACCTCAATCTTTTTCAGGTACAGTCTAAAGTCCATGAGATAAAGCAGAACAGAAGATGGCTGCCATTGCCTCTGAAAGAAAGGGGCTCAACACAATCCTAAAGCTCTTGCAAAAGGAATGCCTCAAGTTAAGAGAAACAAATAGAAAACTTAAGATGGAAATATCCCAACTTACCAAAGAAAACAGTTCCTCAGAGCAAGAGCATCAAAAAACTCAGAATAAAATGCAACGAAAAATAGATGACAGCAAAATCTCAACTGGAAACTCATCTTCAGTTATTGCAAACACTGGAAGCCAAAAATCTTAACCTTAAAATGACCCTGTGGGAATATTCTGATACTAAACAGAAGCCACAAAAGGACTTTAAGAAACTCCAATTAGAAAATGCTTATAAAGAAAAGAGACTCACACCTGAACTCAGAAATACAACAGTAGATATTGATCTTTTAAAGTCTAACTTAACCTGTGCAAACAGAGTCCCAGAAGCTATCAACGGCAGTAACAAACCTCACAGAGGAAAATCAGTTACTTAAGAACTGGAATATACACAAGGCATTTCTAAGTACAAAAGTGACTTGTACTTGTACAATTGGAAAATTGACTGAAGAACACTTCACTGTTAGAAAAGCATCTGTGGAGTACTGAGAAGGAGAGAGAGATGTTACAGTTTGCATTCCACCATTTGCGTAAGGATTATATTTATCTCTGACGCCAAGCTACAGCTCTAGTCTGTGGGTAAAGGAAACCTGGTTACCAGGTACCATGGTGCTCCTACCACACAATGTAACTTTTACTCTGAATATTCCACCAGAACCTGTACAGAAAATTCTGTGCCAAGTGAAATATGGAATGCGATTCACAAGGTATGAGCTTTACTCTGCAATATCTTACTAGCTGGTTTTCTTCTCTAGGCAATTCCTGACAATCTACAGGAATCTGATGCTTCAAATAAATTGTAATAAACTCTTATATTTTGTAAAACTTTTACAATTCTGATGTTCAGTAATTTCCATGTTTTGGTTATGTTCTAAAAAGAACTGTCTGGGTTTTTTTGATACTTGGCTGAATTTCAAAGGTTCACAAAAGCAGATCCTTACACAATTTAAGTAGTAGAAAGACATGAAATGAAACTGAGATATTTTACAGAAGATACAATTATGGCCCTAGGATTATAGAGTCAGAAGGGAGTCTTAACCTTTTCACTGAACAGTTTAGTACTTGCCACAAACTTTAACTACTGTTTCTGCAAGAAGTTCTAAATTATGTTTAACCTAGGCTTACATATGTTTTAGGTTACATTTATTTCTGGTCTACGTTTAATCAACACAGAGTACCCTTTATCACTTTATACTAGATCCTCACTTAGAAAGCTTATTACTCAAAACATGAATTTTAGTATTTTCAGTCTAAATATATTTGGAGAACATGGTCATAGCTATGAAAGGTGCAAAAATTATCCCCTTGGATATAATCCCTGCACAAATACTCTGATTTTCTCAGCCAAGGGACCATGAAGAATTTATCAGAAATACTGCATATAATATTCTGTGAAATTGAAGCTGCCTATATGCAGTGTCTCTACAACACTATTAGGACCATTTTTTTTGAAATTTCATTTTTTATTCACTCATTAATAAATAAATCCATGAAAGTGAAACCATGTAAAATAGTTATTGGTGTTTCTAGAACAGCCTTGGAGGAAATTATGTATCTTCACTTTCCTATTAGTACAACATTAGGTGTACAAGCTCCTGGCCAATAAAAGGCATGATCTCTTCAGAGACATAAAAGTAACCATTTTCTTCCTGTTTCTCCAATAATTCATAAATAATTGTTAATTTGCAGCAATCAGTCTTTATCTGGTTTGTAATACAAGACCATAAATGTAATAGAGCATTTTTTTTTAATCAGGACTGAATCATAGAGTAGATTTTTCCTGGAGTAAAAATGTATTATGCCACAATTCTGCACTGCACACCCCAAGTCAATAAGGACATTAGCATGGTAAATACTTGGGCTATTGACTAGATAGGTGTTTAATTGTATTTAAGGCCTGCATAAACATGAAGTTGCTTCAAATTGTAACTATTAAATTGTGGTCAAATTCATTTATGAAGGTGACTGGCTATATCTATACTGTAAGGATTTATGGAAGCTGTTCTGAAAACAAAGTAAGTCATGTCTAACGTCCTCTTTACCTTAGATAACTGGGTAACAAAATTTAAGTTCTGGATTCCACCATCACAGTCAAAGGTACTGCCAGGAAGCCAAGGGACACAATTATCACTTGTACTAGAACAGCATACTGAGGCTTTAGCTAGAATTGAGTGTCCCCTCCTTGGGACCACACATTTTCTCGTGAGGACTTATCAGAAGTTACTGGCTCCCACGATGACCCCATGAGGCTAGTCCACATATGCTAACATCTTCTCAAACAAGATGGACTGATTTTTTTTTTCTTAATTAAGCTCCTTAGGTTTTAATCAGCTTTCAGTATTTCCATCTTGTCGGTGAAGGAAAATATTTTTGAAATACAGAAGAGTACAGAAGAGAAAGAATTCCAAAAAGAGACAGGAGGACCTAAAAAAAACTTGATAGAAAACTTCATGAACTGTACTACATCAGAACAGCAGTTAGGAGGAAGTGGAGTACAGTGCCATCTACCTAGAGAGGCTGGGTCTGCAGACTTCACAAATGAACACCACAGCAAACGCTCCTCACACTCTGCACAAAGAAGGCACTAAGGTATGTAAGGCTGGCAGCAGTAGCATTATCTAATACAAGGCATGAACAAAGAAAGAAGGAATTCTGTTAAAGGTCTTTCGATAGAGAAAACATCAAAATTCTTGTATGAATAAATACTTTAAAATATTGTCGGGTCCTGTTGATCTTCAACACGTACTGGAAGACATGACCAACACTTTGTTGGTTTATTTTCATTTCTTTGATGTCAGGAAATACGAGATCCAGTCTGGAATTTCTTTTAAAAAATACTATCCTGTGAATAACACCAAGGATACCACTTCATGAATATTGTACTGTGGTACAATAAATCTTTAATAAAAATTAATAATGAAATTTTGTATCCATGTAATAATCTGGATAAATAAATGATGAGTGTTTTTTAAATTTTTAAAATAAATTACCTTTGATTTTCATGAACAAATTTCTTGGACCACATATAAAAACCTTACAAGAAATATTAAGATGGAGGTAAGGTGCACATTTAGGATCACAGTTCCTTCCATCTAAGAAGCTAGTTTGCAAAACAGATCCGATTTGTTAGGAACCTTCCCAAAGTGAAATTAAGCTGCTCTTGGAGAATATGGCAGCAGTTGTGGTTGTCCAGAAACTGAGGAAGAGGTAAGTAGATGCTGGTAAATAGAGATGAAGCCTAACAGACTGCTTGTGGTCTGGGTTTGAACAATGCTTGATATTGATCATTTTGAGAATGTTATCAAAACCAAAAATCACCACTTTTCACATTTTTATTTGCTTTGTTAACTCCTTCCAGAGCCTAAAAAGCGTACCATTCATTTCACCTTTTATACCTAGTAAGATGTCAGTCATGCAGTCTTGTAGTTCTTTACATTTAATGATCTGAAATACAAATGAAGAGAAACTTAGATCCTTGTAGAATATCACTGTACAAATGACAAGAGATTTTGTAAAAATTAAAAACTGGTAACTCAGTCCTGTAGTTAGATTTAAAGACTTGGATCCTTGTGAAGTCAAATTTATTTCAATAGAGCTCTGTGTGAGAGCAAGAATCTACACCAGGAAATCCAGCTATAGGGCTACAGTCCAAATACTTTCACAATCAGCCTTCTCTTTTCAGTTTGGAAACCTATTTCACATACAGCTAGGGTCTTTTTTTCCAATAAAAACATTTTGTTTGGGAACATGAATTTTATTCTGTTAATAAAACAGTAATACAAACAACCACACTAATAAGGCAGCTACTCAAACCAATGTAACATTCTTTTCCCCCTCTTGGAAGGTTGTACTTTCCTACATCAGTGTTTGTAGTTACCATGCTTTTTCATGTACCAAAAAGTTACTTTCAATTAGTGTCCATTAGCAAATGTAGCTTCTGTTTTTGCCTTGTCAGTGTAAATGAAAACTTCAAACTACCCCTGCAAGCTAAAAAGTAATTATTCAAATGCCAAAACACAATGAAATAAACAGAACAGCAATGGGTGAGTAGGGCAGATGTACTTCTCAGACTTCACATATGATTTGTAAAAGACAAATCACAAACATGAAGCAGACTTCCTTAAAGTCAGATTTTCAAATTTTAATCAAGTATTTCTAAAATATTTCATGTTACTCATTGGGTGTGCAAAATAATACGCTTAACTGTTCTGCATGTGATCTTAGAAGTCTGTATTTGAAAGTGATTTCTCTAAATAACTCTAAAAAAATCAGTCTTGATTTTCTGCTTGAATTACAACAGAGCCAAAACTGGAAAATAAGTTTGTTTAAATATAAGGGTTATAGCTTAGTAAGATAAAGTGTCAAGAATTATTTGCATATCTACATATATACATATGCTGTGTACCATAAAACTCTTCTAACTCTGCACAGTGACATGTTTGTAGTTAGGAATCCAGTTTGTGTGTCATTGTTTTAAAAGCTTCATGGGCTTACATTACCTAATATTCTGTTTGCCAGCAGAGGGAGCCAATTTTATTCCATAAACATACGGGAAAATTAAAAACAGATGTTAACAGGAACACTCCCAGACTTCTTACATTTATCAAGTCAGAAAAGAATAAAAATTACTAATTTTCCAGTCACATCTGCATAGCATGATTTTGAAGGTCTCTGTGATACATATAGCCTTATAAAATAACCTGAATTTATAGAAGAGAGTAGGAATAAATTTTGAAAGCCAAGTTCCTTATACATTTCCTATCATTTTATTAATAACTTATTCCTTTAATTATTTTAGACAGTAATAAACAGCTGTGCTAATGACTTTGGTAGACGGCATACATGAAGTGTGAACTCAGATTATAGAGCCTTACCTTGTGACATTTAAAGTTATTATGCTTGTAACAGGTCTGCTTTTTGGTCCAGGAGGAGGATGAAAAATCTGTCGTTCTTTAGTAGTTGTGACAGCCTTAGATTTTTTAACTACATAGGGGTCAGCAGAATGGCTTGGGTAAGGATCGAATGTGCCTCCTTTCATGCCCCCTGCCTGACAGAGAAAAGAACCTTTTGAAGTGCCAGTCTACAATGTAATTGGTTTAATTAGCATGTTATATGCAAAAAAAGCAAGTAAGAATATCAAATAGCAGACTGTTTCATATTATTTAAAAAAAAAAAAGGCAAACTTTAAGGAAAATTTTAGTAATTATTTTGATGAATTCTTAGTTTTAAATGTTCTTTCCTATGTCTGAATTTTGAGGAAAGGGTCTTAAAAATGTTATAGAAAAAGCAAAAACTCATTAAAATGAACTACATTGTGGGGAAAAAAAAAAAAAAAAAAAAAATTCCTATGTTATTATTAGTTTACTAGTACACCTCCATGTCCAGTACTTGTGCAGGGAATGATTGTTATGTACAGCAGGGCTTGGCCACTATTATCACTATGCTTTGACTGTCCTACTTACACTGGGACAGAATCCTAGCCCAGCAGTAGCCTGCAGGCTATTAGCAGTTTGGAGTCAGCCAGGGCAGCTGACAGGAGTCAGCTACAAGTGTATCCCATGCCATAAACATCAAACTCATTATAAAGGGGTAAGTTTTGCTAAGGATGGGTTTTTTTCCCCATTTCTGGAAGGGTTTGTTCATCATTCTGCTCCCACAGGCCGATGTCCTTTTTATTGTGACCACTGTACATTCACTGGGGTAAGTATAATTTTGTATGCTTTATAATGGTATTAGAAGTAGTATTAGTTTTGACTTTTCATGAAATCTGTTTTCACTTCAGTCTGTGAGTGTCCTCTCCTTTTCCCAATGCCCCGTCCCAGCCTGGGAGGGGTCACTGGGTAACAAAGCTACTGATGTAGTTTAGCCCTGGATATGGGCTGAACACAGGCACTGATACACAGCACTGACTTTTCCTGAAGCATCATGTCCACTAGTACTACAAGAGTGGCAAATATTATTTAAAGGACAGAGACACAATTATTCCTCTGCAATCCCCTAGTACAGCTAAACCTCACAGTCTGCTGAGGCTGCATTCTGAAAACTGCAGCACTAAGTGATTCAAACCACAACAAAGCAATTTTCCTCTAAGAGCTCATACAGCAGAGAAAGGGAAGTACACATAAGTAATATATAGAGAGAAAGCATATATGGTGTGAAGGATGGGGAGCCTGGGGCAGGATCACCAGCACTGCCAGCTAGATGAAGTGCTGACTTTCTTAGCAGCTAACGTTGAACAGATCTCCATTCTGAAAGATCTCAGCTGCTTCATCTATGAGACCAAACACCCAATGCAATTGTTTATCTATAAGCATTTTTGCTCTCTCCTTCAGAATGATTATGTTTTCCTTGGTATCATCATCTTCTTCAGATGAATCAAGGTCTGTCAAATAATTCAAAGGTGAAGGACATAATAATAGGAAAGCAGTGGTTAGGAGAGCACAGTATTAAATGACTGATAATAGAACTCCAAAATGAAGAGCTGAAAAGCGACAAAGGGGTGTTACTGTATTAGGTATCTGGAGTCATTTAAGAGAGAGAGATTTATGCATCTTAAACCCACCTCAAAGTTAAGGTTTAGCCTGAATTGAATGGCATAAATTTAGTATCTGATATCAAAAAAATACATCAAGATGGAATGGAAAAATACCCATTTAGCTTCTAAGAAATAATGACAGTAAGCAACTGAACCTAATGAACTATGTTCCTATATATCCTTCATACTAACTCCAGACTTTATTTCCTATGCACTCTAATATCTTTCACATCTATTTATCGCCATCCTTTTCACCCAACTACTGCTCAGTTGGCAAATTCTAAAGTAGATTCCAAATTTCTGTCTGCTGATAAACAAGCAACAGGTAACTCCTGAGTTTATTCTATAACCTTTCCCTGAGCAGAGGGATTAAACTGAGTTTTTCTGCTCCTTCCAGCTCTCCATTCTCATGAGACTTCCAGGAAATATCTTTCAGCTGATTGTCTAGACCGAGACTAATTAGCAGGCTCAAAAACTGTGAGTGACTGACTCATATAGTCAAAATTGGAGAGCATTTCATTTTGCTACAGTAATCTAGTCTTACTGTCATTTACTGCATAACCTTCTGCTTTGTACCTTTTTGTGCTGTATGCAGTCAATTATGCTGTATGCAGTATAATTATAGTATAAATATAGTATAAACTATAGCACTATGCAGATTTTAAAGAGAAGCACTTTTTCGGTTACTTGAAACCGGTTAGCAGTTGTTGCTGGGTCAAACTAGATTTTATTGCTTTGTAAACTGAAAACAGTAAATGGAATAATATCTCTTCTAAGAAAGATAAGAATTTAATAGCAAAACCAAACATTTACTTCTGTCTTATGCACGGTAAGGAAAGCTTTTAACAGGAAATACCTGAATATTTATCTTTTGTCTCCAGTAGCTGTAAGACAAACTAACCTTTTTAGCAGGAGAACTTGGTCTGAAAGGTGGTGCAATTGGCTTCCTTGGAGGTGGTTTCTTCACAGGTGGTAAAGGTTTGTCACTAAAATAGGGATTTGTATCAAAATACTCCTGGGGATATAGATTTAACTTGAAAGGCCCTCCTTTAACCAACCGCTTATGTTCCTCTTGTGCTTTCTGAAAAACAAACCCTTTGAAAGAAGTAATCCTGAGGACTTTTATTGTATGTTACTCCAAGAGAAAAATGGAAAGCATTTAAACTTAGTCTTGAAGAATGGCTGCTCTGTCTTTGCTCTTGTTTCATTATCAAGGCATTTTATACATCCACCATGTATAACATAGATTCACTGACAAAGAAGCACATCAGTCCCTATGAAAGCATCAGGAAAAGCACTGTGCATTTAAGCCATGTCTAACTGGTTTGTATAGCTGTATCTTGGGCACACATACATGCTCGAAAATTCTGCCTGCATGCACTCCAGCTGCTCACACTTATGAACCCTGGCTGCTACATTTCCCAAATTCTGAGCTTCTCCAGGAATTCGTTCTTTGTACCATGGCAGATGTTGTCTATACTTCCCAGTTTCCATTTTGAAATAAAATAGGTTAACACATTATGAAAAATTAAAAGACAAGCATAAAAATGTACCATAAGTAATACAGCACCACCTGTATTATTATTATTATGGTTAATGCATGCCAAGGTCTCAAAGTAAATTCCTTTCTTCCTACCCAGGGGAAACAATCCTGCCTCCCTCTTTTCTGTGTTCCCATTTTCTGCACTGGACGTCTCAGCTGCAGCTAACTGAATTGTTTCTTGTAATCCTGTTCTTACCCTAGACCAGAAATGTCCTACTGCTGCCATTTTTCACTACATATGATGAAAATATACAGGATAACTAAAATCAGTGCAAGCAAATTTACAAGTTTTCTTAGATTTAGGAACTTATATGAAAAACAAAAACCCCCACGTTTTTTATATAGTATCTAGAATAACAAGGTCCCATTCCTCTACAACAACACAGAAGTATTATTGTTCTTGCTATTGGCATTGTTTGGTCCTTATCACATTGTGGCTTAAGGCCCCCAAATAAAAAATAAAGGTCAAATCCTGAATGGTCAAACTTGTATAGGATACTGCCAGATGTCTCAAAGAAAGAAAATAATAAATGAATAATACCTAAATCTCTTTTTATATAGGATGGTCACTAATTTGTTTTCCTTCCTCCATTTTGTAGATCAACACTAGTGATTTCAAGGTAAAGGACACGCCACAGGGAACAAAAAATCCATGTAAACTGTAATATGTAATCATAATGCTAATACATAATAAAGACAAGTATTTTTACCTTTGCATTTATTCTTTCTACATCATACCCATCAGCTTCATGTGGATATTGTTCACCTATTGTAAGATTTGCATAACTGTAAAAAAAAAAAAAAAATTAATTACTTAGATGTTCAAAATACAATAAAAATATTTAAAAATACTCTGCAAGAAGCAATATTGTGAAGTTACCCATATCCACTGCCTTTCTTCCCTGGATTAGTATAAAGATTCTTTCCAGGAGGAATGTATCTTTCTTTGGCTTTCAGTTGTGGACTGAAGTATGGATATGGGCCTCCTATGGTTCCATAATAGCTGCCAAGTCCACATCTAAAACCAGAAAATGAACACATTAATAATGGTTTGCAAATATTTAAGGCTTTCCATATCTAGTGTGCTGAAACGACAGCAACTATATACATCTCAAGAGTTAAATATAAAACCAGATCACATCCACTGTCTAGGGATCTACTACTACAGCAATTCCATGTACACTTTGATGGACAAAAAAGAAACAGCAGCAGAGATTTTAGTTTTAACGTATCTTAATGTAAATATGCCTAACAGGTTGTTTACATTTTGCACCAATAAGGTAAAGTAACACTGGTAGAGACAGATTCATAATGACCCAAAGAAATAGGTTAAACAGACTTGATGACAAGAGGACAGTATTTTCCACAAGTTTACAGAGAAGGGGAAGTTAGTGGTGGTATGATAACGGAGTGGCAGGCAACGTAGGGTACCTGTCTGAAAGGCTTTCCTTCTGGGAGATGTTAGGACTAGTTAACTTCCTGTCTTGTCACAGAAGGGAAGTAAGAGGAGGGACAGCTCATGGAGGAGAAACACCTCTACCTACAAAGCTGCAGGAATTCACCAAGGCTCTTTTCTGAAGACCAACTTGAAAACCAGTATTTGTTGACAAGTGTCTGAAGATACTGTATCTGGCAAGTTGCAACATACTGCCTTCTAATTTAAAATCAAGTATTTATTTAGCCACACTCTTTTCCCATCGCCATCTTCATTGAAAATGAAAGGCTAAAGGGTAAGGAAACTGTTTACAGCAGACTAGTAGTTAAAGAGCAAGCATCATGACCTGCTTTCTTCTTATGTTCAGCCCTCCCTGTGTTGCTGCTCAAAATTCTTTGTTCAGTACGGATGAACACTACATTGTATAAAACAATATTGTACTCTCATTACAAGTTTTATAAGAAATAGCCCGTACAAAGAATGTTGTATTCTCATTACAGGTTTTATAAGAAACAACCTGTGAAAATAATCTTTAGCACACAGCAAAGAAAAAAGGTCAATTTAAAACATTTTCACAACACTTACAGCGATTTGTCTCCACTACTGGGAAGGAAAGCTTTGCCCAAATTTTTCTTTGATTCTGCCAATCTATAGCGTCTCCTTAGCTGAACAGGGTTTGAGTAGGCTTCACCACTGAAAATCCTCACAAACTCAGGTTCAAAATAACCTGCCTGCAGAGCTGACAATGTTTTGGTCCCACCAGGTAACATCTGTCTGTTCTTGCTTGCAGCTTCATTAAAAGGGCCTTTAAAAAAGTAAGCACTGTAAATAAGTGTTTGATGTTAGCGCTTCTCTTAGCCTATGCCACAAAACTAAGGTCTGGATCTGGGTGGCTCAAAGAATGTACTACAGAGCATTTACCTTGTAAATCATGCATCTAAACGGCTGCATCTGAAGAAAAAAGGCAATGAGAAGGTATTCACAGCACCTGGGTTTAATTTTATTTTAGTTTAGGTTTTTAGTGTACATGAAAAAGCAGCTCCCTTTAACAAAAAAATATATTAGAAAACAGTGATTCTGAAAGTAGATGGATATTAGAGGTGGTCCCTGTCACTAAGCAGTGATTAAAATTAAACGTACTTACGCATATAATGTGATACATATTTATCTCCAATGGTGACATAACCCATTTCACTGAAGAGGCCAATCCTCTCCATGTCACTTTTCCCTTCCGCAGGCATGGCTGGATCTGTGTGACAGTGCACTGCACTCAAAAGGCTGAAGGGTCCTTGCTGACTGCAAAAGTCTACGAGCAGTCCACACCTGAGAAGAGAAAGTTTACTTAAGTCAAATGCAAGAAGTTTTTGTTTAAAATATTAGCAATAAATGTAATTTGAAGAAAGGAATCTACAAACATGACTAACAGCTTTGGTGCTTACAGGGCAAATGGGCTATATGGGATTTAGACACCATTATGTTTCCTCTGTTAAATTTACAACATGAATGGAGAAAGAAAATCAAATGCATTTCTAATACAATTGGTGTAACTCTTACTGAAGTTACAGAGTTTGGGTCCACATTAGTAATAGGTATCTTCAGAGTACTAAGACAAGAGGTTTTGGTGGCATTAGCAGCTAGTAATAACACACGCTGAGCAGACTCCTTCATCTTGTAGGTTATCTCTAGCAATGGTTTTCACCCACTTTCTGGCAGAAAAAAAGGTATAGAAGATCAGTGTATGGACAATTCTGGTAAAACATAAAAGTGGCACTTTGGAAGCCCTCTAACTAATCCAAGACCCAGTCATGCTAAATATCTCCAGTGTCTTCTTGGTTTTAATGGAAACAGTTTACAGTAAATGTTAGTTTTTCCTCATCATCACCCTCAATGGAGCCTGACAGAAGAACAGGCATAGTCAACAAGCATGAGGAACTCAAGAGCTTGGATAGAGAACAGGTTTAGCACTAGGATTATGAGGGAATCTGATTCCCAGAGCAAAAACTAGTAGAGATGAGAACTGGAACCAGCTAAAGGAAGAACTGCCTTGAGGAGGAAGATAACAATATATATGTTAAATTCACCAGGAATGGAAAGTACTGTAGAAGAAACTGGTTGATATAGTAGGAAAGTATTTATCAGAAGTCATAAAATGTAAGAATTATCCAGAAAAACAAGGCTATGCAAACAAATAGCCAAGTATCTGCATCCATACAGCTTGAAAGAGAGCAGGAAAGTTATTACATTACTGTGGAGCACAGATTAAAGACAATGTAGATCAAGTCCCATGTTGGTATTCACTATGGGGGCAAAGGCAAGATGGAAAATAAGAATGGAAGTAACTTGGGCAGCAGAAAACTCCAAGGGATTAACTTCACCCACTAGCTGTATGAAGCAAGTGAGGGCAAAGTAAGAAAGCAACGGTACCACAGCAGTGGAAACATATTTAGCAATATAAATTTTATGTATTTTATTGCAAAAAAATAATATGCTGGACCACTGTACAATGGAAGTGCTGGCCACGTTTTGCTTATGCTCAGCGTACAGGCCGGGCAGCATGTGAAGGGTCCGAACACCAGCGCAGTCAGGCAGCGGGCGGGCCAAGCGCGACCCGGGCGCCTCCCGAGGCACTCGTGGGACAGGCGAGGAGGCACCGGCGC